ATTTGCCTTTCCTGTCCCATCAACTCTCGTCATCACGACCACAACCACAGTCAGAACATTGCGCTGAAAAAACTGTGAATGAAAAAGCAGTCCCCTCCATGCTGTGGTCCTGAGGGTAGTGATGTTGATGATGATGATGTTGATGATGATGATGATGATGTTGATGATGTTGATGATGTTGATGATGATGATGATGTGTGGTTGTGGTGATGGCCGATGGTGGGCAACAAGATGAGGATCGAATGGTAATGAAAACTTAGCACCGTAAGAAAAAAAGATGCAGAGAAGCAGGTGATGAAGATGATGAAGACGATGAGGAGGAGGAGGAGGATGGTGGTGGTGGTGGCGACTGTGGGCATGAAAAGCGAATGGGCACGGCAAGAGGACTGAACGGGGATAACAAGTCTTTGTATCACCATGAGATAAAGATGTAAAGAATTCTGACTTTTCTCCAGAGGTAGAAAGAAACATCCACACCCTAGCACACGCTCAAACGCAGACACACACACACACAAACACACACGTGTGGAGAGGCGGTTAACGGAGACCCAAAAATTCAGCGTTTTTTTAATGCTATTTATAAGAAAACCAGAAGCCATCATTCCATAGAGTGCACACCATATTAACAAACCATTAGAAAAAAACCGAAAAAATAAAATAAAAACAGGGTGAAACAGTAAGGCAAAAGTGCACTTGAATGACATTTTGGATTCAGCGAATTTTCAGAATTTTCAGCGTTTTTGGAAATGGCCTTATCAGAGGAAATTCCAATGCTCCAAATTTGGTACACAACAACCTTGAAGTAAGACAAAAACAGGCAAAAAAAAAAAACAAAAAAACATAAAATTTCACCCCCAAAACCTAATTTCAGTTTTGGACCTGTTACCCAGGAACTGAAACTGGGGGGTCCCCGTTAACCACATGTGACACACACACACACACACACACACACACACACACACACACACACACACACACACACACAGAGAGAGAGAGAGAGAGAGGATGTGGGGTGCGGAGCGGGTTACAATTGTGGCGTGACAGAGGAATGCAGGCATTTAGTTATTTCGATTTTTGAAAATAGACAGGAGTGGTATGAACTCGAATGCAGGACCTCTGCGAAACAATTAAAAAAAAATACAGGGATTCAGGGACGAGAGAACAACAGACGAGGGGGGGGGATGCGACAGACTGTTTCGTCGGAGTTTTCACCAACTCATCAGGAGGCTGAACGTGCGAGTCGGTGAGACTCCGACGAAACAGTCTGTCACAGCCCCTTGTTTGTTGTCCTCTTCTCCCTTTCTGCCTACGGTTGATGATATGGTAGAATTTGTTCTCTGGTATTCATTTATGTTGAAAATGGCCTGGCTCATCCTTCAACCATCTCACAGTTCCCGTGTCTTGAATCCTGGCTGGTTTGTCCCGTCGTTTGGCCTGTGCTGTCGGGGGCGGTGTCTGCATGTGGGACTTGTCATCAAGGATTCGTTTGCCCCCTGTTCTGTAATGTTTGGCTGTTCCCTTCCTCTTTTCTTTGCCTCTTTGCCTTTTGGCTGTGTGCAAGTGGGTCGATATGACACACGGGGGTGGGGGCAGCCGCTGCTCAACCTACATCCACGTGGGCGGCCTTGTACGCAAGAGGAGGTTCTGAACAGGAGGAGTCTTGTAAGGAAGAAGATTAAAAATGAATTTATTTCTTTTTTTTTTTGCATTTGCGCTCTGATAAATTTGTGACGATATATATATGTATATATGTGTATATGTAGATACTTTGAGGGCAGTGGTTGGTGCCCACCTCAGGGTATCAGTTGTCGGGCAGTCGGTGATGTGGATTATCACCGTAACCACAACCGGGGTTAAGGTGGATTATCACTTACAGTGTAGAGGGTTCAGCCTCCTGATGAGTCGGTGAAACTCCGACGAAACAGTTTGTCACAGCCCCTCGTTTGTTGTCCTCTTCTCCCTTTTCTCCCTCTCTCTATATCGTCGAACAGAACTGCCCTGTAAAAGGTGGGGAGAGAGGGAGAAGAGGACAACAAACGAGGGGCTTTGACAAACTGTTTCGTCGGAGTTTCACCTACCAACTCATCAGGAGGGTGAAACCTCTACAGACTGCATTCTCATTTTGCACATTTGGTGAGATCTCGATAGCTCTTCTTTTTTCTTTTCTTTTTCTTTTTTCTTTTCTTTTTCTTTTTTCTTCTCTTTTTTCTTTTCTTTTTTAGTACAAGTGAACCCGACCTGCCTGAATCTGGACGTGTTTGTGAAAGGGTGCTGAAGATCGAGATTGAACTGCTTTTCTGCATCTCTGCTTAAAACGCGTCCAGATTCAGGAGCTTAATCCAATTCTCTGTGCTGATGGGACCTTGCCCCAGGCGTGAGGTGATACGACAAGGCCTCAGTAACTTGCTATTCATTTTCTAACTTTTTTTTTTTTTTTTCCTGAGGAAGCAGAATCTCGGCTGTTTATCAGGGGTGGACTCCCCGTCGATCAGCTGGTAAGGCTGGTGAGGGATGCAAATGGCATTCAGGAGGTCGCGGGTTCAATCCCCATTCGGCTCATGTACCTTCCTGCGCAAGCTTGGTGCATGGCACCTAGATAGAGCCCCTTGGTCCTCCCGAGTGGCATTGAGCAGAGATTTGCTGATGCTCATAGGGGGAGGGGACCGGAGGGGAGGCACAGCGACTGACCCATTGAAGAAGCTCGGTCCTGATGCTACAGGCTGACCTCTGGCCGGTATCACCCACCTGCAAGTAGACTGCAGCACCCCCATGTTCCCTCCTTGGAGGCTTGAACACGGGCTGACTGCTACAGGGTTCCCACCGTAATAATACTATAATGCTAAATAAAAAGGGCCTGAAAGGCCGTCCTCTCCAGATTAAAAAAAAAAGGAAAAAAAGACTCCCCGCCAGAGGTGGGGAGCACTCAAATGCCTTCAGCGTCTTTCATTTGTTTGTTCGTTTTTTCACTTCTTTTTCATGCGTGACAACGGCGACCTTCTTTGTATTCCCTCTGCTGGTCAGAGGTCCAGCAGAAGGGTCTCTCTCTCTCTCTCTCTCTCTCTCTCTCTCTCTCTCTCTCTCTCTC